TTTTTTTTTTCTTTCTTTGGAATACCTGTTAGAATCCTACAGGAATTGATGATATATATTCTATGATAGGTCGACCCATAGAATAGAACTTCCGCGCTGTAACATCTTGGTCACGTGATCAAGTTAGTTACGTAAATTGTTTCTGAATTGCAAGATATCTCATTTTGTTTCACCCTGTAGGCAGCATCATGTGCTTATGCCGTACTCATCATTTCTATTTACTGGATGGCCGAGGTTTTCCCGATGGCGGTCACAGCACTCCTACCCGTACTACTGTTTCCTCTACTTGGTATCATGCATTCCAGTCGGGTCTCTGCAAACTATATGAAAGACATAATTATGACAATGATAGGCGCTTTCTTCGTGGCCGATGCGTTGGCGTATTGGGACTTGCATCGACGATTTGCATTGAAGATTCTATTATACACTGCGTCCAGTCCTCGCTGGTGAGTGTTTTGCGTCTTTACTGTCCTATAGCGGACTCGCACACGCATGTATAATTTCCTTGTTTGGATATCAAAAATCCGGCCTTTATTAACAAATTGCTACTATGAATATGAACACACATATTGTATCACATGAATACTAATTACGTACGTGTCTGACAACTCAGTTAAATTCGAGAACAGAAAAAGTGTAAACTGTTAATCACTACCGTAATTGTTTTTTTCCTGTTGGGATGATTGAATCGAAATAAATAACTTTATAAATAATATCAGAGGTACATTACATCATGCCAAGTTCCCATTCAAGTCTCATCTCGTAGATAGCGAGACTTATGCTACGACCTTCTGACATGACATAGGCGGTTTGTAATAAAAGATATATTACCACATTCATAGTGAAAATATGTAATACATCGAAAATATAGTTAACGTAATCTGTCATATCGTGAGCAGCTAATTTGATCCACCTGGACATCCCAGTATTCTAGTTACCTCGGGTATGCGCAATCGCATTTTTCTGAGTTGGAACGCTTATGCGAGAGCGAGATTGAAACGGGATCTTGGTATCATGTCACCGTAGTTGCAAACCCCAAGTTATGTACCTCTGATAATATGTAATGTTTAAATAAATATACACAATTCCCCCATAGTACCAGACGTAAATCAACAATAAGTATTTGAATAATCACATTACCACAGAGAAAAGATAATCTCTGCATAACGCTTGGCGACGATATAAATTACATTTAACATTTTAAAACAATACACTATGTTACATATTAGTTAAGATAGCGATAAGAATGACTTGAGTTTGTTTGCTGCACGTCAGCTTTGGTGCATAATTCCTACCCACATATATACACCGGTCTCAAGATATATTTTCAAACCTCTTGTAACCTCTGAGATATCAATGTCCGTTTCATTGTATTCATGATTGGCCATTCGCCATCAATGTATAAATTTGTAATAGGGGAAATTCAGTCTGCGGTTACAGCGCCTATAAATGATATTGCTGTATAATACGATATTCAGAATTGTAATTCTATTTTTAATTATTTTACTTTATAAATGACAAGAATCAAAAGCGAACAGCTGTGTTAAAATTGAGCTTTTCAATTTAAATGTTTTTATTTGTCCATGCAGTGTGTGTGGTGTCTTTATAAAAAATAAGTCGGAAGTGGCTGTTGACAGACATGCCGACGTTCGATGTTGAGGTGTAACGACGTGATGCCGGAGACATCGGACGCGCATGCGCCTAAATAGCCTACCACTGATTTCAACTCGTGCCCTCCGCACGATGCAGACGACGTCGATTGAACTTGACAGTATTGTTGCTGGAATTATTTGTTTTCCTGTGGTGATGACGCAATCCTGTCACTGTATGAATGTATAAGTGCATTGCCGATACCTTGTGTTAAAGGGTAATAATTTTCAAAATTCTCCAGACATTTTGTGAGGAATAGATTAATTGACATATTATGATCGTAATTTTGATTTAAGGTTGATGTTTGGCTTAATGGCGACCACCAGTTTCTTGGCTATGTGGATGAGCAATTCGGTTGTAACAGCAATGATGGTTCCTTTGACCATCGCAATACTCAAAGAAATTGATACGAAAAGAAAGGTATTTATACCGTATATTTGATTTGCTTTTCATTACATAACGCCTCCTGGGGTATTGTTCCCAGCATATCGCGAGTTAGCCCATGTTAGCTCTATGGTTAGCCTGA